TAATTATATATATTATTAATTAAAAAAAAAATATTTAGTCAATACCTCCGACGGGATATTTAGAAGTGGCCAACACTTTCAATATGTTGACAGCTCTCTCACCATTTGCTGAACATTGAACCAGTTGTGTGTCAACAATGTTGTCTATATTTCCCTTTTGATCAATAGTTAGTTCAACCCATAGGGTATAATTGTTAGCATCCCGTCCCTCACATTCATTATACTCGCCATGATATATGCCACTAACTAGAGGTGCTTAGCATTGTTTAAAAATTAATAATAAATTAAAAATATATATTTATAATAAAATGAACTATATTAGAAAAATATACAAATTGTTGAATAAAATATTTTTATAATAATGAATAAAATTTAATATATTTTTTTGTACAAAAAAAATTTACTTCACTTTAATAATAAATCTATAAATATATGTAATAAAATTATTTCAAACTACTATACTAATCGTAGCATAAATTATTATTATTATAATATATAAAAATTTATTATATATTTTTATTTACAATATTATTAGACAACTAAATAAATTAAATAATTAAAATTTATTTACCAGGTTCAGGTTGATTACAAGTTATAAAACTAATAAAAAACAATGGCACAATGAGAACTAGCATTATTTTTATTATAATACTGAACTAAAAATGATTTTTAAGTATATAATAGATAATATTATGAAAAATTATTTACTTGAAAATTGATTTCACATTTATATAGACATATAAATTGTTATTATGCAATTTTTTAACATAGATTTTCAACTCATCAGGGTAATTTGTTGAAAAAAATCTGTTAAAAACATTTTCTAATAGTTTTAAATAATTTACAAGTAAAATTCAAGGTTATATTATTTTTGTATTATAACTTATAATTTATAAGTCAGAAAAATAACATTTTAAACAAAAGAAAATGTTTATTATATTTGTTACTATAATTTAAAAGCATTTCCAATAAGATTATTTTTCATATAAATAATTTTTTTTGTTTAAATGTAAAAAGTTATTTATTCAAGCAATATTGACAAATTATTTGATTTATTTATATTTGTTATAATTTTATAAAATTTTGTCTTATAAATTCTAGTAAAAAATAATTTATAATAATTATATATATATATATTTATTTTTATTTATATCGAGTAATAATGGAAATTTTTTTTTTAATTATAAAAATAATATATTTATATTTTAATATAATAAATAAATTTTTTTGAATTATATCAATATATAATTTATATAGATCAAACAAAAATTATTCGATTACTAAAATTATAAATTAGTTTTTTTACATATTAAAAATACAATAATGATTTATATATCTTAATAAATATAAATAAATGATAATTAAAAAAATGATGACTATTTTAAATTACAACACTGGAATTTCCTCTACAAATAGTTGAACAGCATTTTCTGAATTGTTTGTAAGCACCGGTAGGCGATTTCAGGACAGACAGTTCCAGACGATAGTTAATCAACAGTGAAGCGGATTTTGATGTTACGTATGAATATCCTAACACCGATGAAAAGCGTTTCAAGTATTGGTTGACTAATAGTATGACTTTTTCGTATAAGTATTTACCCTGAAGTGGACCACCAGTTATCAGCCATAATGTCTCCGATTGTGTGTAAGTTTTAAAGAATAAGTGAAGAAAGATATGATTAGTTTTAAAAGTTTCTTAAAAAATTAAAACAAACAAATATAAGTCAATACCTCCCACCGGATAGTATGAATCGACAAACACTTGTCAGTGTATTGACAGCTCTGTCCCCATGAGATAAACATTGAACCAGTTGTGAGTCTTCAATGTTGCCATCATTTCACTTTTGATTGTAGTTTAGCTCAACACATAGGGTATAATTGTACGATAAAAACTAACATTATTTTTATTATAATACTATAAATGATTTTCAACTATAATAGATAGTATTTTATAACTAATTATTTTTATATAACTAATTATTTCATAGTTATATTGAGATACTAAATGTTATTATGAAACTTTTTTATTGCACAGATTTTTAACACATCAGAATAATTAACAAAAAATTATTGCTAAAAAAATATATTATAAAAGTTTTAAATTATTTATACTAATCTTTCATAGCATATGATTTATAATTTATTTAATAGACCCAAAACAACATTTTTAGTTTAAGCCAAATCTATTATTGTTTAAATTGACTATTTTATGCCAATTTTATAATCAAAATACTTGCAACAAGTAATTAATTATCTAATTTATGATAAAATCTAAATTAAAAAAATTATTGAACAGAAAATATCGTTTAACTATAGCTCTATAATCTGTACATTTTAATTGAACCAAATTTGTTGTATAAATAAAATAAACAATATCAATTTTTTTAAATGTATAAAATTTTATTATATTAACATTGATATGAAAACGATACATTTAATTATAAAAAAAAACAATTATGCTATATACCAGGCATGTCCTCGGCAAATGGTTGTACAGCCTTTTTTGAATTGTTCGAAAGCACCGGTAGGTGAAATTAGGACAGACAGATCTAGACGATCGCTAATCAATAGTGTGTCCGATTTATTAGTAACGTATGAGTAGCCCAACACCGATGTAAAGCGTTTCCAGTATAAGATGTTTAACTGTATTTCTTGTACATACAGATATTTACCCTGAAGTGGACCACTAATTATAAGCCATAATACATCGTATTGTGAATAGGCTTTAAATTTGAAAACAAAAAAAAATAAATGTATTAATTATATATATTATTAAATTAAAAAATATTTAGTCAATACCTCCGACGGGATATTTAGAAATGGCCAATGTTTTCAATGTGTTGACTGCTTTGTCACCATTTGCTGAACATTGAATCAATTGTGTATCAATAATGGTGTCTATATTTCCCGTTTGATCAACAATTAGTTCAGTCAATAGTGTATAATTGTTAGCATCCCGTCCCTCACATTCATTATACTCGCTGTGATATATGGCACTGATTTGGGGAACTTTACACAATTTTTTCATTAATAAATAAAATTTAATTAATAATAGATAATTAGATTTTACCAGGTTCAGGTTGACTGGTACTGATAAAGCCAATGATAGAGCACAGGGATACTATTAAGGCTAACATCATCATTGTGTATATGTGCGTGTGTTTACCAATAATTTAGTTTATATGACTATAGATATAATTTTCTAAATTGAAAATTTAATTGATATGTCGATTGCTTTTATACACAAACAAACAAAAAAGTCATAGATTTCTACTCAAAATGTTAATGATTTTTTCATTTTACAAGTGATTTTTAAAAATTTAATTTAAAAGTAGATTTATTATATTAAAAAAATCTGTTTAGCAGATTATTATTTGTATTTCATTTTTTATTATGTTTATCCTATAAGTTCAAGGCTTTAAAAATACAATATATAATTTAATATTTATATATAAGTTTTAATCTTAAATATATTAGATATTATGTAAAAAGAAATGCAATACTATAAATATAAATGACCAAAAAGCTAATAATTTAATAAATTAAAAATTTTATTAATTAAAGATTTAAGATTTTGAATTACAGATTTTTAAAATCCAAAATCAAGAGGGGGGGGGTTAAGAGAAAATACCCTAAAATTTCCGAATAAATTCCCGTATAAATTGTCAAAATTTAAAAATTAATAAAAACTAAAATTTTAATAAAAAATAAAATAATATATTTAAACTTTAAAAATAGTCTATAAAAGCATTAATGATAAACTATGAACGCCAAAATTTTAAAGGGGGGTCATTTGGCTTGACTCCCTACCCCCTTGCTTAGCCCTGATGAAAATCTAATTAATTTTTGTTTAAGATTTATTAAAATAAATAAATTATTATTTTATCAATTATTTTTTGTTACCATTTTTTTAAATAAGTAGTTTTTTATTTGTCATTTTAAAAATATTATTTAAGTTTTTACTTTTTCTTCTATTTTTAAAATATTAATATTATGTTTAAATTTTTATATAAATTATTTTATATTTCTGATATTTATAAATTTAAATATATAGATGTACAGTATATAAATATTTTAAAATAAATAATTTAAAAATATTCATGTTTTGCAATTTATTTCTATTAATTAGTTGGTTAAATTTTTAGTAAAAGTATTGATAGAAAAATGATTAAGTTAAATTTTTTAGACATTGTTTAATAAATATTAGAATATAATATAATGTCTGTGTATGCTATTTGCGTCAAAACTAAACAAATAAAAACAAATATTTGTAATTTTTATTTTCTGATATATTTTCAAAAAACATCAGTTAATTTTGTAAGAAACCATTATATTAATATATTAATTATTAAAAAATATAGAATATTATAAAAATAAAATAGACTTTTTTAATAATTACAAGTTTTACATACTTTTGTAAATAGTTTTTTATTTAATATTTACAATTATTATTTGTAAACTTTTTTTTAAATATTAAATATTAATATAAAAAATTAAAAATATTATATTGATGTATTTGGAAAAAAGCAAAATAATTTTATAATGATAAGTTAAATTTTTTACATTTTAAAAATATACTGTACTTAATAGAGGTAAATAAAAATTAATATAAACATAAAATATTTGTATGTTATTAAAATATATTATATTAATAACACTTAATAATATTTAATTGTATTCGTGATTCATTGAATTTATAATTATTTTGTTTTAGTTTGTTGTTTATTGTTGAGTCATTTAAATTCCAACAAAACAATTATTAATTTTTTTAAACATAGACTTTATAACTCATTATTATAACTCTATATAATAAACTAAAAAGATTCCCAATTTTTATTATTGAACTATTTTTTATCTATCAATTTCATTATTAAACTGTATTAATATTATTAACTGTATAATTATTATATATATTTAAAAAATACTCATAAATATTGATATTATATTAAAATTTTAAATATTTTTTATGTCTAAAATAATAAACTAAAATCAATATTATCATGAATTTTGAGGACATACTAACAGAAGTGGGCGAATTTGGTTACTATCAAAAACGTACTGCCGTTTTATATTTGGCTGCATCGGCACTATTATTACCGTTTTATGCGATAACAGCTATATTTATGGTAAGTAATTATCTGTATTTGTGTAAAATATATGTTAATAGTGTAATGTGGAGGCTGTTTGCATGTATTACCTAAAAACAACACATCTGGTACAATGCCCTGGGTTCGATTCCCTAGTGAGCCACTGTTGCTTATTGTTAATTCATACGTGAATAACAGCCAGTTTGGTGTACAAAGTACCGTTCCGTTATAAAACTGACTAACTGTTTATGGCTACTCTTCTAAACTTATGATGCTATACATAAATATAGACAATAATACAAAATAAAATAGACAGGGTCTCCTAAAACTGTATCATACATTTAATGTGATCTTTATATATATGTATTGTATGTATGTATGTGTGTGTGTGTGTGTGTGTGTGTGTGTGTGTGTGTGTGTGTGTGTGTGTGTGTGTGTGTGTGTGTGTGTGTGTGTGTGTGTGTGTGTGTGTGTGTGTGTGTGTGCTATTAAGATTAATATAAAAATACTAATATTAGATATCGACACCAAAACATTGGTGTAATGTCAATCAATTGGCTAACCGCACCATTGATGAGCAAATATCACTTATTAGTCCGGCAGTGATCGACCCATACTATGGCACTGAAACACACGATTCATGTAATATGTATGATATTGATTATAACTATTTTGTAACAAATGAGGCCAACATTTCCACATATAAGTCGGCAATGAATATATCGGTACTGCCGGTCAAGCCGTGCAGTGATGGCTGGTCTTATGATCATTACTTTTATGACAACAATGCCGTTACAGTAGTAAGTGTATAATTTAACATGTACATTTTAAATTTTCAAACTTTACTAACTTGTCTACTATTAAAAATAAATTGATTAACATATATTAAAATTGGATAACTTTTGCAATTGTTTTTTTTTGTTATTTGATTGAAATTTTTATGATTCAATAGTTAGATCTGGTATGTGATCGAAGCAATTATGTTAGTTTGACTTTCAATGTCGCAAGTATTGGCACATTAGTGGGCACACCGTTTTTTGGTTGGCTGTCCGATAAGTTAGCATTTTATATTCATTTATTGTATCTTTTATTTAAATAATGTTTTATATAAATCAAATTATAAAAAATTAATAATAATAATAACTATTTGCAGAATCGGTCGTCGGCGTACATATCAAATAACATTGTTTGTTATAATCGCAACAATATTAAGTCCAACTATACTTAGAGATCTAACAAGTTTTCTAATATTTCGTGGATTTACTGGACTAATTGTTCCCTCATTTTATCAATTGCCATTTATTATACGTAAAAATATTATATATTTAATAATATATATATATATATATATATATATTGATTATTATATTTATTTCAATTTTAAATTTAATAATAATTTCAATGTTTCAAAACAGTTGTTGAATTGGTTGGTCCGTCTTATCGGACACTAATGAATTCGGTTGCATGTATTGGTTGGGTTATCGGTATGTGTTTTGTGCCATTGGTTGCATACCTGACCCGCGATTGGGCGCTATTGAATGGTATATGTGTTGCCACTGTAGCCATATTTTTCTGTTATTGGAAGTAATTATATTTTAATATATTTTCAAAAAACTATTATAAATAATACAAATTTATTATTTATTATTATAACTATATAACAGATTAATATATACTATATATATATTTTTAAATCAATGATTTAATTAATAATTTTTATTTTATTTTTTATTTGTCTTATTATACAAAGACTATTACCCGAGTCTCCGCGTTGGCTGATAATGAATCAGAAATATACCGAAGCTGAGCGACAATTGCAGGAAATGGCTAAACTTAACGGTAGACCTCCAGTTCAACATCTGATGGAAAAGTTGAAAGCAGTCGGCAAATCCATGTCCAATGAGAATCAAGCGACTGAAAAGGTAGACAACGCTTTAGTCGTATTTTTAAAGAATCCAATACTTCGGCGAAATTTAATTATAATGTCAGTTAATTGGATGATCTGTTCGGGCATTTATTATGGCATCCAAATGAATGTCTATAACTTTTCCGGCAACGAGTTTATCAACTTTTTCCTATTGTCTGTTGTCGAGATACCAGCCTATTTGGTCGGTTGGTTTTCTATGGAAACACGATTAGGTCGGCGCTGGACATTCGCATTATTTATGTTGTTGTGCGGTCTATCACTATGTGTGCCGGCTATAACTCCGGTCGAGTATCCCGTTGTCAGCACTGTTATGGCAATGTTAGGCAAGTTTTGCGTTACACTGACTTTTATGATAGTCTACCAACAGGGCGCCGAACTATACCCGACGGCAATACGTAATCAGGGTCTAGGCATCGGCACTATGGCCTCAATGGTGGCCAATATTATAATGCCTTATGTCGTGTTTTTGGTATTACTTTTATTTAAATTTTTATAATTAATTTTTAGTTTTACTAAATTTATTAATTATGTTAATTAATTTCTATATAGACTGATCTCTGGATTTCATTACTAGTGTTAGGAATATTAGGCATAATAATTAGTTTTGTTAGCACTATATTACCGGAAACATTGAATGTTAATTTACCGCAAACTATACACGAAGGCAGTGTTTTTGGTAAAAATCAAAAATATTTTTCATTTGCAAAGTATGTCATAATATTTATCAATTGAACAGTAATTTATTCAGTAATTTTATGTAGTTTTATGTTAAAAGTAGTAAATTTTTGATATACACAATAAATTTCAAAACATTTATTTATTTTTATTTTATTTTTTATAGCACAAAATCTATAACAAAAATTGCGGACAATATCGATGCTAAAGAATTAGAAAATCTAAATGCTTTTCATTAATTATTTTTAATTCATTGTATAATTAGACATTTAAATATCAATATATGTTTTATTTTTTATATAATTTAATGTATTGATAAAATCATATGATTACGTATTATATTTTTTAGTTTATTATATTAATTTTTAAAAAAAAATTAAATAAATTTATAAAAAAAATTTACTGAATAAAATTTAATAGTTATGTATACGTGTTAATTTATTTAATTAATATCTAAAGTATTATATTTAGAACAATAAAGTATTAAAAATTTAAATCTAAAATCTAAATATTTTAAACTTATTTTTAAAAAATATTTTTATTATTTATTTATGAATATAACAATTATTTAAAAATGATTTACATAAAATTATTTTAGACAATTTCTAAAGCTTTATTACAAAATTATAAAATTCAATGTTTATCATATGTTTTAATTAACAAAAATGACTAAATAGAGGTTATTTAATAATTATGTTAATATATATAGTGAAATGTTTGAAATTATGTCAATTTCAGTATAACTATAAATATAATTGTTGAATTAATTATATATTGTAGTTGTTATATTTATTTATTTTTATCAAATTTATTATATTTATTAAATTTGTATTGTATAAAAAAATTTAAAATAAAATGTACAAAGTGTTAGCAATTATACTTACAGTTAAAATCGGTAAGCTTTTATATTTTAATTATTATTATTGAGAGTTATTATTATTATTATTATTTCATAATAAAGCTAAAATTTATGTATTAATTTTTTAAGCATTAATATCAGCCGGGCATCATCAGCATCATCATAAAGTTCCAGGTACTATAAATAATTTAGATATTAAATTATTAAAATTAAAAAAAAAAATTGTTTGTATTTATAGCAAGGATAGGACTCATACAAATTGGTAACTTTGATAGCTGTGAGGGTAAGGATGCCGGCAATTATACACTGGTTCGTACATTTACACGAGAAGCCGATTGCAATCCACATACATCACAAGATTCAGGTGCCAACCAACTGGTCCAATGTGGTGGTAACAGTGCCGCCAGCGGTGATCAACAACGTGCTGTCAACACACTGGTAGTATTGGCCAGATCTGTCAACGATGCTGGAGGTGTCTAATAAATTATCTTAACAAATATGTTGAATATGTTTTATGTTAATTGCTTTTTATTTATTTATTATAATATAAAATAGTTAACTTTCAACGCGAAACCTTATGGCTGATACAGACCGGTCCACTTCAGGGCAAATATCTGTACGAAAAAGTTATTTATTTACAGTTGGCTTATCTGAAAAAGTGTTCAACAGTTTTGGGTTATTCCTACACCACATCAGTGAGCGCTACACTATTGATAAACGATACGCTCGATCTCAATGTGTTTTTGAGTCCAACCGGCGGTTTTGAGGTGTTTCGCAAAGGGTGTGCAACCATTTGTAAGGGACACTACTTTAACTTTTAAAAACTATTTAAAAAAAAAATTATTTATTATATGTTGAAATAAATATAAAATTGTTTTGATTAATTTGGTTTTTTTAAATAAATAATTTGCTAATTATTATAATAATTGACTGAATACATAAACTTAGCAAAAAAAAGTATGAATACTGTAAATATTTATAAAAAACATATAAATTTAATTTAAATAAAATTAATTCATATTATTTTTCTTGAAAAGTTCTTTCTACATATATGTAATATATTTTACTAAAACATATAGTTTTAAATATTTTAATATAAAATATTATATTAATTAATAAGCAGTAAACTGTTATAAAATATATCAAATTAATATTATACAGATTATTATTTTCTATATAATTATTATATTTCTAAAATTTATTGAATTCTAATTTTTTTCTTAACTTCTTTATTATTTTAATACAAAAAAATAATATTATAACGGGTCGGGTATTATTGACCCATTAATAGCATATAAAAAATATCTTTTATATGCTAGTCATAAGCATATCGGGTAGCACTTACTTATAGCGCTTTTATAGGTTTGGTGACGGATATCAAGTCTAGTATTCGGAAACTCTATTTACCGGATCTCATGGGAACCCATCCGTGGAAACGGAATTATATCCCCAATCAATACACTTATATGTTTACACTTACTATTGCTTACAATAAGGAACTCAATTGTTAGGTCAGAACTTAACTTTTATTTACAAATTATAGGGGAATGCCGTAAAAACACGACATTTATTACATAGAGTTTCTATCAATAATTATAATTAAATTAAACATGTCACAATTAATTAAATAGTATTTTAAATCAACATTACACAATTTCATAATATTAGTTAAAAGAATCATTATACAAATACAGTGATAATTAATATATAAATGAACATAATTAACAAATTGTTAGAATTAAATAATCTAGTTATTAATGTTTTATAAAAAGATATCTTTTTATTGACGTTTGGAGCGCTAGTGATATTCATTATATCACAATATTATAAATAATATATTTTATTAATAAAAGTTTAACTAAATTTTGAACCGAAATCTCTAAATAGATTAGTATATAACTAAATTAAGAAAAAAATATTGTTTTATTAATACAATTAGAATTATATGTCAATTATTTTGAAATTTTACTTTTGTAACATTTAAACACATATGTTATCAATGTCAAAATTATAATAAAAAAATATTTAAATTATACAAATTATCACATATTTAAATATTTTTTCAATTCAACTTATTATTTTATATACATGTAATTATTATATTATTTAGAATATAATTTATATATAATTCCTAAATCAAAACTAAATTTAAAAATAATTTTTTTAAATAATAAAATGTTTATTAATTTATTTTGTTTAACTTTATTAAGTGTTTCAGGTAAATAAATATTTTTGATTATTCTAATATATTTTTTATACTAATTATTTAATTATTTTTTTAATAAACTTTAGTTACAAACACTTTGGCAGTTTTAAGTGTAAACACAGGTTATATCATATATTTTAATATTTTTATTATTTACAATAATAATAAGTTTTATTATTATTTATTAATATATTTAGTTAAACAACGTGTTGATTTTTTGTACTACGCTTTACTAAACAATTGTGAGGGCAAGGATGCCGGCAACTATACGCAGATCAGCACTTATACCCGCAACCCTACATGTGATCCCGACACCACTGTCGAGTACGACAATACACAATTGGTACAGGAGTTGCCTAACAAACAAAAACAAGTTAACAAATTGCAGACCATACAGACTAGTTTATATCCAGCTGGAAGTAATTATTTAACAAATTTTAATAACACAAAATTAGCTAGCAAATTTTTAAAAATATATTATTTTATATATCACTTTAAAATAAAATAAAAATGTTATAGCTATGAGACAAAGGGAGACCCTATGGCTGGCCATAAGTGGTCCACTGGAGGGGAAATACCTATTGGAGAGAATCATATTCTTAAGAGAAGACTATTTGAAAATGTGTTCATCAATTCTGGGCTATTCCTATACAACAACAAAAGTGGCGCAACTGTTGATCGCTGACACTCTCGATCTAAATGTATTTACAGCGCCTACCGGTGCCTATGATGTGTTTCGTAAGGGCTGTACAACCATTTGCAATGGTAATGGCTATTTTTTTGCTTAGTGTTTCATTTTATTTATATTAGACAATAAAACAGTAGTATTTATAGTATTATTATTATTTGTAAGCTATGTGTTGAATGATGTTTTAATTAAACTTTATTATTTATTACAATAATTAAAAAAATGTGTGTTTTATTTTTTAAATGTGATTATATGTGTTACGAAAACTTTTGTCAAAGTTATTTATTAATTAATAATAATAATCAGTTTAATATAGCATTTTATAACAGAAAATTACGTTAACTTAATGTTGTAGTAATTATCTAGAATCTAGATTCTAGATTATCAATGATCAGAGTATTGATTTTTGATCATTTTAGGGCTATCCCTTCTATCTATTATAATTCATGTTTAATACCCCCCCTAATAAAATTTTAAATAATTTTAACTGATTAATATAATAAAAATTATTTTAAATTATTTTTTAAATAAATATATGTAACATTTTTATTGGATTATAATTAGTAACGTCATACATTCATTAAATACTGTGTAATCATTGCTGATCTATATATAGTATTAATTTTTTATATCAAATTAATATACCGGTACTGTATTAATAACATTTTATTATTTAAATATAAGTTATTAACTTATTTTATGTGATTGCATTATAATTTTGTTTGAATACATTTTCTTTTCTGATCAATTAATATCAATATTTTTATATACTTATGGTACTTGTACTTATACTTACTTACTTATACCATACTTATGGTATGGTACTTATACTTGTTTATTATTTAATAAAAACATATATTAACAATCTATTTTATTTATATATCTGTTTATCAATATTTATATTTATTTTTTATCACAAAAGTTAGGTAATATTTCAATAAAAAATAACTTCATATGAAATTATTACTAATATATATTTTTATAACTTATTAAAATAATATAAAAACTGTATAAATTATTAATTACATGTCTACAGAATACTGTATCAAAAATATACAATAATGACAAAATTAAAATATAAAGATTACTTTAATAATATTTTTGATGATATTTATGAGTTGAAATCAATTAAAGTATTGCAAAAGTTTTTGACAACGTTTCACGTATTGATTGCACAGACATTTGCTGATTATAACAATCGTTTGATTCATCGGAAGCGCTATTATATAGCCATTGGTGTCAATATTCTTAATATTCTTCTTATATTAAGATTTGTTATCATATCCTATGTAAACGAACCGTGGATTTGGTCACTATTTGGTAACGCCTTTTACATGTGGGGAAATGGCCGATATTTTGCAGCAATGATGGTTTGTCACGGCTGTGCTGTGGCCACATGTAGTGCCGGTTATACGGTATATGAGAGTCAGTATAGACTGATGGCCGTTGACTTTCTCGAAAGTCTGACATCGCGTTCAATGAGACC